AAAATAGGAGATTTAAAAAAAAAAAAAAAAAAAAAGATTTAGAAGAACTACAGAGGAAGATAAGCTTTGCACATTTAACAAGACCACCACTATCAGAAAATCATAATGCAACAGAGAAAAATAAATGCATAAATTTCTAAGCATTTATAATTTGGCCACTTAGCGACTTCCCTTCCACTTGCTACTGAAAGTGATCAATAAATCAAGCTTTCGGTGTTGGGTTGACGGTTGGACTCGATGATCTTAGAGGTCTTTTCCAACCTCAGTGATTCTATGATTCTATGATTCTAGTAGTACCAAGATTAATGATGAACTTCAACTGGGAAAAGAACAAATTCACAATGAGAAAAATGTTTTTTAAAAAATGTGAGGTTGTTGCCACGTGGACGAACTCACATAGCCAGCAAAAGAGACAGTAAATCCACCGAAAGAGAAAATATGTTGTTATTCCCCTAAAAAAAAAAAAAGCCTTTGGCAGCAAACACTGGTGATCCAAACTTTCTGTATGTGAGGTCTAACAGAAAACACCAAACAGTACTGAAAATTAATTTAAGTACTCGTATATAGTATTTCAAGGATAAAAAACAGATTTGCATGAAATCAGAACATAATGAAACTCAAGTATTCAAGTCTCTTAGTAGCTAATTAATATTCTCAGTCTGTTTTTAAAAGCAAATAAAAATATGCAGAATATGCAGAATTACCTGAAACATCCCAGCATGTTAATGGAGTTAACACTGTCCTAATAGTGTTTACAGATGAATCTTTAAAATAAGTGACTACAGCATTAACTCTGTGCATTCAGAAACATTAGTTCAGAATCACTATTACCAAAGACGTTTGATAATATCTGTTATTCAATACATCCCATTTTGTCTTCACAGTGCTGTTTTTGTCTATTTTCAGGACAGTTTCCTTACTGCCTCCCCCAGGTGTGTGCATACACACACAGAATTGCAGTACGTACATTCGGAGCTCCAGTGCCTTGTAAATCTTTTTAAAATACTTGAAAATAACACTCTATATAGTATCGCCTGTCAAGCAACTCCCTGCTCTACTTAAACAGTGCTACTATGTCTACAGAAATCACATTTACCAGCTAAAAGAATTACATGGCCAATATTTGGTTTATTAAAAAACCAAAACAAACCACTGAACAACACAAAAAAAATGATTACACCAGTAGCCCATATTGAAAATGCAATACTCACGAGAGAACACATTCCTTTTCTATAAAGGATCATAACGATTAGTCGACGTAGAAGATCCACGTTCATACCAGCAACTTAAAAAGTTTATTTTATTGAAACCAAATACGACACAATAACATCATGTCAATCTAATTTTAATACTAATAAATCCCCTTCAGCTAGATAAAAAAAAAATTAACTGTCCTAGTATTTCTATACATGTAAACATGGCAGATGTTTATTTTGGGGCTGTTTGGGTTTCCTCCTTTCTCTCCACCTGATATTTTTGCTGCTATAGTAACCAAATGCAATAGACAAAATAAGATGGCTCTCTCCCCAGAGGTGATACACAGGCTTTACCAGTTGCACAAAAACAGGCAAAAAAGAGGGTAACACTCATTGGATTAAGCTCCCAATATATACATACGTATCTTCTATATTTCCACATTTCTGTTGAAGTCTTATCTTTTCTAACTTTGAAGTACTATCTTCTCATTTGAAAACATAATACTAATCACAAATATATTGTAAAATATCTAATATACAACTACCAGTGTTTAGCAACAGATGCGATTAGATACACGCTGTCAGTTATTTGAAGAACTGTTATTTAAAGATAGATGAGAGAAGAAAACTAAACATTACGTGCATCTATCCTAAGCAAGTCTATCATAGATTGTTCAGAGAAATGTGCATATAACAGTATGGTTAAACTAGATCTAATACTTGTCCAGCAGCCTTATCCTTAACGCTCATTTTTCCATTGGTTGTTTAGGAAAGGTCCCCTTGTGGATTAAGGGTTCATTAAAAACATGAAAGTAAAGCACAGAAGTTAAGATACAGTTGTTAAATGGAGGGAGGCTACCAGAGGGACTTCCCATACAGCCAAGGTGTTCAAATTATTTAGAGGTGATCCTGAAAACTGTGAGGTGACCAAGTCAGAGGACAAAAATTAACCTGGACAAAAACTGAAATGCTGACAGAACAGATAGAAAAATAATCTTCAGATATGAGTAACCACGTGATGAGATGCCAAACCAAATTCAGTGTCAACAACAGAAAACTAATTCAAAGAAGGGAGAAATTAAAAACCATCTCTGCAGCTTTTATCGCTCAAAACACACCAGCAATCTGAGAAAAGGATATTTTTTCATCTTAGCAGAATGACTAGCAGCAGTCAATGTTAAGAATTATTAGGAAATGAATAGAGAAGAAAAAGTATAATTAAATTATTCTAAAAAACAATGGGCTCATACATTGAATACTGCATTCACCTATAACCAATCACTCCATCAGATAAAAGACAAATCTAAAAGCCTCATGCCAAAAAGCTAGCACTCAAGCAGGGCTAGTGAAAGGTACAGAACACACGTCCCCACACACTAAATGACCAAAGCTTCTAAGCATGGAAAACAGAATGAGAGGTGGGGATTTGACAGTGGTCTCAACTAAGAATGGGTTAGGAAATAAGGAATTATCATCACTGCTTCTCAAAAAAATCTAAATTAGAACACCTTTAGGAAGAAGGAGTAACATAAGGATCAAAAGATAATGTAATTTAAAAGTTACAGGTTCCATGCAATAGCCTCTGCTTTTATCCTCCAGTTACAATGTAGTTGAGGAAATCAGATTTTGGCTTAAAAAGCAAGATTGATATGACATTGTTTAAAAGGGGAAATGCCTTGGGAAAAGACTAGTGAAATACAGTCTCAGCCTTCTACTGAAAGTATCCAGTTCTCATTTGATCAAGTGAGGCAAGGGCGTCTGGTTCATAACTGACTCATAATCAAAGTAGGATTACATCATTTATTGACATCGTTTTCCAAAACTTCTTGCCAGAACATTACTTCCTGGATGAGAAATGGCCAGAGCAGTCTTTACATTCATCAATTCTAGATTACTGTAAATTACTTTTCTGATGTTAAATGTGTCCTTTTAATAGATATGTTTGTTGCAGCCTGAACCAGTTTGTGCTTACATCTCCCCACTAGCTCCCAGTCAACATCTGGTGACAACTCCTGGCTTTGGCCCTAATGTTAAATTAAAATTAAGTAAGTAATTAATCACATTACAACAGCACTGAAGAACAAATTGCCGTTTATGAAACCCTCAAGAGTGCTACTACTTCAGACAGGATTCTTCAGCTACAGAAAAAAGTACTCTTGGTCAAAAGGATCCCATGATGGAAAGTTTCCACAGACCATGCAAATCCAGAGACTCTTTTTCCAACTGTCCTGTTTGTGAAAGTCATTTCATCACAAGATACAATCTACCACACTGATTGTGAACTAATACACGATCAACACCACTGATTCCATACAAATCCCTGATGCCTGAGGAAAAAGAACTGAAAACACAACACAGCCCCGTTACAATTCCTAGGCCTAAAAGCAAGGAGGTGCTAACAGCTCCTTTGATTTCAGCATGGACATCCACATATGTCAACAGTGTCGTTTGACAGAAACTCAGATATGACCGTGATGAACAGCATCAGTGTAAAACCTACACTGTCGCATAGAAGTGCTACAAAACTGAGGAAACCCACGCACCCCACACACTTGAAAAATCACATCTTTACACTAATATAATATATGAACTGATATATTACAACCATCTAATTTTAAACACACTCCGGATGTACTTCAGGCCAATAATAAAGCTTAGAAAAACGTTCTCGCAAAGACTGTTTCCTGAGTAGTCACTACAAACACATACTCCTCTCTATATCCCTCCAGCCATTCCCTCTTCTCTTAGAATAAAAACCACCTGTCTCTATTAATTCTACCACATTGTAAGATCTTTTTCCCACTTTTGATACCATCTCAGTGTAACTGAAGTCTAGAGATGACAAGTTATGCCCGTTCATCTGACTGCCCTCCAAATAATCACCTTCATTGCTCTTCCAGAAAAGTTTCTAACATACACAAAAGATCACTAAAACCATGTGCCACCAGCAAGTTATTCTTTCAAATCTGCTTTTAAGATTTTTATCTGCTACCACGATTACAAGACCAGAAACAGCACAGGGAAGTGTAACTAACCCAGGGAGGCACTCCAAGGAGTTCTATCCCAACACCTATTTTTCCCTTACACATGTACAAATTTTCTCTATATTAAATTTGATCGAACCTTTACAACAGGTTAAATAAAAATCAATTAACGGATGGAAGCTGCAACGCAGATGCACAGTGGCTGTTGTCTATACTGTCTTTGAGATTTGCTCCATTGCAAGACACCTGTTCTCCTCACTAAATGACTTGGAGCAGCTTGTTTGCATACTTGTACTGAGCCAGACCAAACCCCGCCCGAGCAGCAAGCCACCCGCATACCACATAACACCTGGGGTGACCTCCAGCTCAGTAGCTATCCCACAGTCTTTGTACCTAATCACAGGCCTCTCCCACACACGGCGAAATACGTTCAACCTTCTATTTCATGCTGGTTCTCAGCACAGGCCTTAACATAGGACTGGCCCTTGGATTTGCTTTGGGCTTGGGGAAGGGCAGCCGTTTAGTTGTTTTTTTGTTGGGGTTTTGTTATATTGTTGTTTTTGTTTGGTTGGTTTGTCTTTTAAACCACGAGAAGCGCTTCTCCAGGCTGTACCAGAAGCTCTGAGCAGAGGGCTGTACAGTCATGCTCTACTTCTTTCCTCTCCAATTCCACAATAAAGGACACTACCAGAAAAGCCTCAGTCTCCTGGGAGTCTCGCATGGCCCTTCTCTGGGCCTCATTTTTCTTAATGCTATACTGCTTTAAATTAAATGTAAAGCAAATTACATGTCACATCATTTGAAACATAAAGCGTTCGGAATCGTGCGGGCAGCTGTACAAACCACCCCATGCAGGCCATCACAGCACAATGCCCAGCCTCTGTGATGCATAAAGGACTAGAGCCTGCTTAAACAGTGTTGGAAGACTAGGCTGGAAAAGGAAAAGCTATCTCATAGTGTCCCATTCCTCTTGCCCTTTGGAGTGGTTTTAGAAGTGATGTAGAACTTTCTCCTAGATTCTGTCTAGGGAAGACATCCAGTCATCCCATTACAGAAGGGATTCCAGGAGCAATCTAGCATGCAGCAAGGACGACAGGAGTAGTTAAACCCTACAGCGAAACAGGGAGTGATCCAAACCAACACCAAAGACATACCCAGATACACCAGTTTCAAACACATGCATTTCTTCTTTTCTTTTTTTTCTTTTTTTTTTTTTTTTTTTTTTTTTTAAATCAGACAATCAAGATAAAATATTCTGGAAACTAATGTATATGATTCTATTTCTTTAGAATAAATCGAAGAATGCCTAATCAAAAATTTTTTAACAAATACCAGCCCAAGACAGGGAACATGGAAAGTCTAAAACATAAGAAAACCAAGGAATTACAATAGAAACTAGTAATATTTTGTGTATTTCAATTCCAGTACAAACCTTCCAGTTTGCTCTGAAGACATTTTACATTTATGTTCTGTATATTTGATATTTAAATAAGACTAAAGCATTAATATTTAAGTATCCAATTTATATTGCCTTTTTTGTTTGTTTATTTTTGGACTTTTTGTTCGTTTGTTTTTTAAAGATTTGGTAAAGATTTTCTCTCAAGCCCTAATGTGGAACAATGCTAGAATCAAAAACATACTATCACAATGAGAAGTAAATTTTTAAGCATAAACCATCTCTATGACATTTTTGCTACAATACCAGAAGAACTGTCAAACTACTAAACTACTGTAGGTAAATGTGTTACTGTTTTAGATCTCTTGACATGGGTATAAAACTACTTACTCTTCTCGCAAAATAAATTCAATATTTTCTGGAGAAACCTGTCCTGTCACAGGATGTCTAAATGACGTGGTCTGCTGATTATGGCTGAAAGGGAAAAAAAAAAAAAAAAAAAAAAAAGAAAAAAGAAATTAATATTGCTAAACTCAGTAAAAGATATCTATTATCCCTAAAGGGCAGAACTGTTTATATTGATGCTTTGTTGCTGCTACTCCAGAAATGAAACATATTTCCTAGGTACCTTTGAAGCCAGAAATGTTTTCAGTTCCTTCCTGAACTCTTGTTGACTTTGCCAATGGCACAGTGTACCATTTAATTATTAAACAGGTTAATGTTTTAAAAGTAAACTAGTTGCAATCCTTAGTTAGGGAGATGCACTTGAATTTATGATTATTTACACTTGACTGTTACCAGATTATTTAAACATAATACAGAAATTACACAACATAAATTACTGATTTGTATTTCTGTAAATTTCACAGAACAGAACCAGTAAAGTAATTTAAAATGTTGCTGGACAACATTTTACACAATTTTTAATATTTAATGAGATCACAGAGAGAGATTTTGTGGGAGCCATTTGTTGCATGCTTTTTTTCCCCTCTAGTATGGTATTTCTTCAATGATTTTTGTTTACATCTCCATGCAGAGGACCATATATAACCTTAGCCGTTCAGTTGCATGGCCTATATAAAACAACATAATTTAGTATTTAATCTGAGGTGAATTAAAATTGGGATTTTCTATCAACTTTCCCCTCAGAGTACTATCTAGATGTTTTGCTACCCTCTGTGAAATATTGCTATCCATTGAAGACAATTATTTTATCTTTGTAACTGTACTCATGCAATGCAAAATTATGGAGTGGAAAAAGTTTATGCCATGATAAACTGGTAGTCTTCCCTCCTCCCCAAAGTAGATAATTTGAATTAATTGTATAGAAAACACAAGACAATTTCTAGAGAGTCTCATACCTACTAAGCCCCTTATTCTCCAGCCCTGTCCAAAGAAGCAATCTATAAAAATCACAAATCTTAAAGAAATAAGAAATTGAAGATCTTGTTTCAGAATTAGAAAGGTCGTGGCTGAGATGCTGTTAGGGAGCCTTAGAATTAGAGAGAGTAATGAACCAAGAGCTCACTTACTTAAGGTTCTGAATATTTATGGGTTTAGTTAACAATATTTAGGTAAACAACATCCAAAACTAGAATTCCCATCTGATGCAGCAAAATGTTAACACACTGTGAGTATATTCACACACACACAAAAAAGGGCCATTAAATGAATTACACATCAAAGAGCTAAAATTAACACTTCATCCATTTTTTTTGTTTTAAAGATTTGGGGGTTTTCCTCCTGTAATGCCCAGCAATTTCAGGTCTTACAGATTGGACCCAATTGTCTAGCATAGCAGGATGTTCCTCCCGAGACAGAATAAGACATAAAGAAATATTTGGGGGTTTCAAAGTAATGAAATTCCAAAGAGGTAACAGCCTTGCTGTAGAGTAAAGGACAGCTAAAAATCAAACAGCTCATGCACCCGTAACATTGAAACGTAAATAGCTCAGGACATGCCTTGATTTAAAAAAAAAAAACAAAAAAAAAAAAAACCCACCACAAAAAAACAACGAAACAAAAAAAATACACACACACACCCCCAAACCCCAACAAGAACAACAAAAAACCCCCACAACCAAAACCACAAACTGCTCATGCTAAGTCCCACTTGGACCATGAACAGCAGAGAATGTTTTCTGTGTTATAAACTTTTCACTCCTTTTCCAATATGCCTTGCTACAGGAAGTCATATATAAGGGACCAACATAATGAACACTTTCAATGATAAGCTGAAAGCTGTAACAACTTATATTACAACCAAAAGGACTTTTTCCAGCCTTGCTTGCTACAAAAATTCTAGCCCTACAGGCCATCAACTACCCCACAGCACCAGCAACAGCATTAATTTCCTAGAGTGGTGAGAACTGACCTCTGCTACAGAGGTGGGTTCATGAAGTACCTTTGCAGTTTCTAACTCTTGTTTTCCCGTGAAATCAGAGATCAGGAGAAAGTGTTTCCAGTAAGCTTGCAGTGCTAACATCTACAAAGCAACTATGATCTTTTTCTCACAAAAGGACTGAGGAGTATTGTTTTCTGAAGATGCAGTTTTACGTGAGTTTATATTCTAATTTTGAGTATACATCCAAAGAAAGGAATAGGAACTTGCAGATGTCAAACAAAATAATAAATTATAACAGTAACAATTAAACTCCATTTTTGCCACACAGTTCAAACAGTTTTAAGCTAAAAGTCTTTTCTTTTAAATCAGGACTGAAGCAGTCTGTTTAACCTTTGATACTTAGGCTAGGATTACTAGCAAAAACGCAAATATATAATTAGCTTTAAAAATGAAAGTACATTGTCAGCTTTATTCTCCAGAGGCAGACAAACTGTCAGCAAGCTCTCATCTGCAGGCTTTTAGTCATTAGTAACTCACTCTACAATTAAGACTAAGAAAAAGGACTATATTCGAGAAGCGCTCTAAGGTTATTTAGGAAATGCAGTTACCCATTATACCATACTAGCACTTTTACAAATGTTTTGTTATTTCTCATGAAATAAATTCACCAGGCCTTCAGAAGATGAATTAGTCCTCTTGCTGCAATTAAAGAGCAAGTCCATTACTAATAGACTAAATATTACTTGCTAATAATAAAAGTTTCAGCTGGAAAGGAAACACTTCTTAAATATCTGAGCAATTGCATTTTGGGACAAGTTTTGCACTTTGAATAGTAAGAGCAGAGAAACAGAACGATAGTTCTGTTACTACACAAAATGCAGATGGCAATTTCACAGACAAGACGACATACAAAACCAAAACTTTGTGCAAATCTGCAGCTTCAATACTTAGGACTTGACTGGGAAGAGAGAAATGAAACCACTGCCACTAACAATTAGTTTTGCAGAACACAGTGGTTTATTTGAATTTGAAAAGTGAGAGTTTAAGTGTTTTGCCTCATAGCACTCATTAAGAATAAGCAATACTATTCAAAACAACCTACACAACAGATGGCTAATGCCTTGCAATAAGGAATTAGATAGCAGGGAGATTTCTGTCCACAATGAGAGCAGTCAGACATTGGAAAGGTTGCCTAGCAAGGCTGTGGAATCTCCATCCTTGGAAACATCCAAAACGTGGCTGGATAAGGCCTTTAGCAACCAAATCGAACTTTTTAAGTTGGTTCCAACTTTGAAGCTGGCCTGGCTCTGAGCAGGAGGGGCTGGATCTGATGGGGTCCAGAGGTTCCTTCCAACCTAAATTATTCTGTTCTGTCATTCTCTGCTGCTCCCTCCATCTTTCTCTGCAAATTTCATTTAATTCTTACAATCCCTTTGAAGCTTTCCCAGTATTTAAATAGATGTATTCCAAGAACATTAGCAGTACCTTGTTTTGATTAGAACGAGAGAAATTGTAACATTAGATTTTTAGATTTAGATCACGATTGTTTGTTGTTGTTGTTTTCACGTCCTTTAAACATTTGCTTAACAGTAATATCTGTTTATACAACAGTGATAACAATAACGTCTCCAGTGAGAGTGAGCTAGTAAACCTATTGCAGCGAAAGTTCTCCTTCCTTTCCAAGCACAGACTAAGAAAAGACCTCGCACAGTTGTTTTCCAGACGCATCAGCTAACTAAGCCCCCCGGAAGTTAATCACCTGTATTTCCTCCAAACAGCAACTGCTGAATGCGTTTCTATTGTCCAGAAATCTACCATGTATAACAGGCACAATAAACAAACCTTAATAAAAGGAGGTGGGTGTCAGTCTCTTCTCCCAAGTAACTAGTGATAGGACAAGAGGAAATGGCCTCAAGTTGCACCAGGGGAGGTTTAGATTGGAGGTGAGGAAGAAATTTCTTTACTGAAAGAAAACATTGGACCAGGCTGCCCAGGGAAGTGGTGGAGTCACCATCCCTGGAGGTATTTAAAAGACGTGTAGATGAGGCACTTAGGGACATGGTTTAGTGGGCATGGTGGTGTTGGGTTGACGGTTGGACTTGATGATCTTAGAGGTCTTTTCCAACCTTAATGATTCTATGATTCTATGACATGATACACTGCTCCACTCTTCATGCCGCTTTTATTCTTTTTTCACTAGAGAAAGACTTAATACCTCCAACAAAACTGAGAAAGGCTTATGATGCTTCACCACGTGAATTCTGAACACCATGTAACTTGTATTAGTACAACACCACACATTTGAAATGCCCAGCTAAGTTTTCTAGTAACATTAGGAATTTTCCGTGTGATAAATTATGGCATTCTTCCTAGCAATCATCTTTTAATTTTAACAGTTTTGTATTCTGATTTTGTATAATTACTAATCAACAGAACCACCAAACCAAAGCAAGTATGAAGGCATGAAAAATCCACACAAAAATTACATTCATTAGCATCTACCACTACCATCATTATGAAATTACACTATAGACTGCTAAAAGTAATTCTGAATTTCAAAAGTTACAGAACACCATTTTCCAAGGCTTGCTGTTGGTTTGTAATAGTGAAGACTCAGACTTTTCATAACAGAATCACAGTTCAAACACTAGTTCTTTGAAATCAGATAGATTTGCAACACAAATTCTACCATTTCACAGCATGCATACACAACATTTACAAACATAAGAATTGATAGTCACCCACTGTCTTAAGGCCAATGTACTACAGCAGTTTAGAAAGACTCAAGACCTTCAAGATGTAAACAATGTTAATACACCTGGCTAACATCAGCCACATGTGAAAGCATGCTGCTTGAGCATCTAATGTAACTTCTAAGTTGGCCCTGGGTTCAGGGGTGGAACCAGATAACCTTACAAACTGGATGCTATTTATGATCCTACTGGGTGGGTGGGAATGCAGACAGACAGACACCTGTATCCTTTGATAACACCTCACTGCTCACCGTCAGAATGGAGCCTAAAACATTTCTCAGGTATTGATTAAGCAAGCCTGCAAATTTAACATTGCCTATCATTTGTCTGCACTAACCTAACCTATAGTATGATGAAATTTAACTGATTTA